AAAATTGAGTAAGAAAAATAAGACAGAGAATATAGTTTCGTGAGAAATAGTGTGATTTACCCGAAGGTTAATTATAGAATGTATGGATAGATATTGGTAGTAAAATAAGATTTTTAATAATAATAATCGGTTCTCTTCTCTAGTTGTATCCAAGAACGAACACTGAAAATGTTTTTGTTGGTGTAATAAAGAGAGGTGACGGTATCCTTACCATGAGACTCGGATCAAATAACCCACACCTTTCTTTTTCTTTTCCTTTGCATTTTCTTTTAAAAAAATCCCCCCAATTGTCAAATTCAAACTGCTGCTAATATCTCTGTCCCTCTCGCTTTGAATTCAATCCAAAAAAAAGGACATTATCTGCTTTCATTTCGTTTCCCTGTTTGGATTTTACAATAGTAAGTTGAAATTGGAAGGAAAAAGAAAAGAAAATGGAGGCAGCCATGGGACTGATGCGAAGAATGCCGCCTCGCCTCTCCGAGACAACACTCTCCGCTCTTTTAAGCCTTTTGCCTCACCACTCCTCCGATCTCCTCTCTCAAGTCGATCTCCCTCTCCAGGTCTCTTCCTTTCTTTTTCCAATTTTAGTTTACCCATATTTTTTCATTTCTGGAGATTTCGCTATGTAATATTGCTCGAATTGGTTATTTATTATGTTTTATTTTTATTTTGAAAATGACCATAATGTATTTGGTAATTCGTTTGGCTAAAGAATGAAGTAAATTTTAAAATAACGATTGTCTTAGGGTTCTTTTTATATAGAGAAAGCTGGGTCGAAATCATCACGGAAAATGTATTGCGGAAGATCGATACTGAAGTATAAGGTTTTCAGCCAAAATGTATCTGGGGTTGCTTTTTCCCCCCTTTGGCGTTGGAAACCAAAAGAAAGATCAAAATCTGCGTTCAAAAACAAAAGCGGTGCCAATTTTTAGAAAATAAAATTTTAATGATCCGAGTGCGTACTTTATAATGTGTTTCCTTTAAGATTTAGTTAGTTCGTGTTTTAAAGTGAAAAGGGGCTGAACATTTATTTATTTTTGAAAAGTTTCAAAAATTTATGTTTTGAAAAGAAATTTTTGAATGTTGTATATTCATTCTTCACTCTATGCTAGTTAGAATTCATGGTAGTCGTTTTGAATGCATTTCAACATTTTGCTTTTGGTTAGTTTCTTAAAGCTGTGAAACTGAGCAACTTTATTTAATAAACGGATCAGGATGAAATTGAATTGGGGTTTTATTTCTTTTTGACCTTGATCACATGCAACATTTGGATTCTGGATTGAGTATTGTCTTCTTTCTCGTTTTTCTCATTGATTGCTTGAACTTAAATTGTTCCCCAAGAGATGCTCCTCCTTGATGTTTGCATATTATTAGCTCATTATCATGGTCTTGATTTATGAATGTCATAGAAAATTTTTTTACTGCCTTTGAATTTTTATCCATCATTTTATAGATCCTTAAGTTTACTTCAATTTTTGTGTATGGAGCTATTAGCTTTCTTTTTTGCACTGTTCTCAAATGAAATAACTTAGATTGTTTTTGTCTTAGTTTTATATCATATATAATCAGCCCTTTTCCCCTTTGCTGGTATTTGATTTTGTGGTGTTGGGTATCCTCATAACAACTTGGCAACTTGTTACATGCAATCTTATTCACTAACCTATAGGTTTTGTTACAAGTGAAGCTTTCACGTGATATCAAAACATATAACAACAACTGAGTTTTGTTCCCTTGATTTGGATGAATTAGTTGATTAGATTTTCACATTTTCCTCTGAAACAGGTTTTGTCTGATGTGGACAGTGGAAAGAAGTTCATTTTGTGCGAATACAACAGAGACGCCGATTCTTACAGGTAGCTTTACTCTTCTGATTAGTATATCGATATATAAATTATAAACCCTGAACTTAATTTTGCCTCTCCTATTGTTGCCTAAGCCTTCTTAAGCTGTTTCTATGTTCTTGCCTGTTTGTATTTTTGTTCTGATTTAAAATAATGAAAAGTAAGCCCCCTTCTCCTCATTTATCTTGCCTAAATAATAATGGTTATGTTAACAATCTTCCTGAGGTTTTATTTTCTATACTCTTACTTTGTAGATTCAAATTTGGTGATGGACTATACATGGTTACCTATACATGGTTGCCTATGCTGGGTCTCTCCCAATATGTTTATATAAACTTGCACATCTAATCCATAGCACTGTGCACGTTTGTAGATGTTGGCCTTTCCTGGGGGGTCTTCCTCCAAAATGTTTATAGTAAAACAGTTGTTTAGTTTTTATGGTGGAAAAAGATTGAATATATAATCCAGAAAACTGTACATATCACCATGATGTTGAATAAACATTATGAAATATTATAATTATGCCACGGTGGTTTATCTCCTCTGTATATGTTTGTATTTGCATGTTCATTATCTATATGAAGTACATTTGCATATATGATTTGCTCAAACCTAAGCACAGACACTAGCTCCAGAATTTGAATTCTTTCAGTCAGTACTCCATGTTTGAGCTGTTAGTGAATCTTGTCAGCAGCAAATCAATCTTATATCAAATGATATTCCTTCAGTTTCATGTCTCATATGATGCTTTAAGGCCATCTTTTGAGTTCCTTTTTACTTGCATAGTAGCAAATTTCAATTAGAATTCATCTTTGACTAACTTGTAATCTGTGGTTTTGTTCTGTGCAATTGTACTGTTTGTAGATCACCTTGGTCAAACAAATATCATCCACCTTTGGAAGATGCGCCTTATCCATCTTCAAAGTTGAGGCAATTGGAAATTGAAGCTAACGATATCTTTACAGTCTATTGTGACCAGTGAGGTTCTTACTTATGTTGTACTTTGTTTATTAATTTGCTGTTTGTCTGGGTTTGATTACAATTGACCTCTATTAAGTTTTATGCTTCTCTTTTTATTGTGGTTGGATATGGAGTCTTAAGGCATCGCTCCATCAAGTTAGATTTTTTATGCAGTATCTGCTTTTTTATAATTCATTTATTTATGTTTAACCAATAATACAATAGGTATTATGAGGGTGGCATCTCATCTGTCTACATGTGGGAAGATGATCACGAATGTTTTGTAGCCTGCTTTTTGATAAAGAAAGGTAAGCAGCTTAATTTTTCCCAAATAAAACCAGTAACCCCTGTTAGTTCTTCTGATTTGGTTTCCTTGGCTTTTGGAGAAAGATGGCTCAAGGACTGGGCAAGGGCGAAGAGGTTATTTGGAGGAGGGAACTTGGGATGCTATTCATGTTATAGAGGTGAATTTCAATGGCTTTATACAATTAGGGATATAGAACTTTCATTCTTATCTCAGGCCTCTTTCTTTTTGTTGTATGTTTACATTTATTCCTCTATGGGTAGTTTGTTACTTTATATTGGATTCTCTTGCTAATGTTGCACTCTCACCTTTTATTTAGGTTGGACCAGAAGAAGAAATTACTCGATATTGCTTGACTAGTACAGTCATGCTGTCTTTAACTACAGATGACGTGTCATCAGGCACTTTCAGTTTGTCTGGATCTATCAGAAGACAGGTAATTGGTGGGATTTTTTAATAATGAAGAGTTAAACTGTTGGAGAATGCAGCTTTATGTTCATTGAAAGTGATTTGTACTCCATTGATAACTGTTTTTTTTTTTTTGCAATCCGTTAGTATCTATTCAATTTTGAAACACTGGGAAGGGGAAACAGTTTTTTGGAATCTCTTGATCCCCAAGTGGTGTTGAATTGATGACCTTGGACATCACAAGCGATGATTGTTTAGATCTATCAGAAAAAGTGGTTCATAACTAGTATTGATCATCTGAAATCCTGTACTAGGCTTTCATGGGTTTTCTTTCCTTGCCCTTTTTAGGAGGGTTTTTTTTCTTCCATAAACCATTTACAGATGGCACAATCGGAAGGAATTATATGATAAAAAAGGATAACTTGCCTTACAATACAGATCTTTTTTGAAATTTTTTGTTTTACATTTGCTCCTGGTATCTTGGACCACCTGAAAAATCCAAGAATGGAGCTATGTTACTTGGACTTGGGTGTAAGTTTTGAATACAGTTATGTGTTGGACACAAGTTGTTTAATGGGTATTTCAGCAAAAATGAGGAGTGAGATTAACATAGCTCTATAGCAAGAAACTTAAAAAGTAGTTTGCTAATTGCCTTTGTAAAGTTAAATACTCTCGGTGCAGTTTGTTTGGGTCATTAATCTGATATCATTAGAACTTTTCTGTACTAACTGCAGGCAGAATATTAAGTTCCTCTTCCCATCCGTAGTAAGTGGACTTAAATTTATGTTCCCACTTGCCCATAAAATATCGGATCGAGTCTTAAAACATGGTGTCCAACTCGTTTTTACTATTTGATACTGGTGTTATGGACTGAGCATTTATTGTTTAGTTAATGAATTTTACATTACAGTTACCCTATGGCTTATCATCCTTCTGTTGTTTCTGCTCTCAAATGTGAAGTTACGGTTTATCTTTCTTGTCCGTAGATGAACATGAACCTCCCAGTTGCCGATGGTCATCTCTCCAATATGGGAAAGATGATAGAAGAAATGGAGGGTAAGCTCCGGAACTCATTGGATCAGGTACACCTACTACTTTACCTGAACTTTCTTTGCACACCGACATTGATAATTGAGTTTGGTACTACCAGGTCGAAATATTTACATATTTTGCAGGTCTACTTTGGAAAGACGAGAGAGATGGTTTGCACTTTACGACCGCCTAATGAGGTTGTGCAGTTGAGATTGCCTAGTAGTTGACTTGGGTATATATACCATAAGAAGTTGATGTTTGTGCCATGCTTCTTTACTAGAGTGACCTCAGAGTATGCTTTGTGTATGGGATATATGTATTTGAAAGCTCGAAAAGCCAGCCAGGACGGGATTGTCTCAAGATCTTTCATATGAGACCATATATATTGGAATGCAATACAAGCAAAGATTATAATCCTACTTCTCTTTAGTCTTTATACTCTCGATCTAAGAAAATCTAATAATGACCAGACTCTTCCACTAGAAAGGGAGATCAACAAGCGAAAATAAAAATAAGAGCATAAATAATATTGTTATGTAGCTTAACGCATCCGACTTGGCAAGATATACGACTGCGAGACGAAACATGCAGCTCTAAACGCTTTTGACTTCAGGTGCAGCACCGGACAATGAGGCATCTTTCTTTGAAGCTGATAATTCTTTCACAGTTTCATCTTCTGTATCATTGTCGTCATCTGCAAGGAGATCGCATCGAGATACGTTGAATTACTACCAAAATATTATCTCTTTTTAAACATGCAACCAACTCAAGATCCGATACTAATCGATACTAGATGGATTATGAAACTTACCATCCTCCCCTTCAGCCATATCAAAGCCCTCACCACCACCCATGTTTATCTTCTGTAACAAGAAGGAAATAGAAGCAAATGGTGTCAAGTCCAATTTAGAGACACTCGAATCGTAAATATTAGGTGATAAAACTGCCACTCACGGAGAAGTCAAAGTCGCCAAAGTCCATGTCAGGTCCGGCTGGCAACAACAAGCCGGTGGTGAGTCAAAAAAACGAATCCCCTTCACCATGAAAATAAAGCAGTGGAAGAAAACATATAAGAATTGAGAGAATTGTTCATACGCTTAGTGTCCTGATCCTCCTCATCTTCGTCGACCCATCAATCCCAATCGACTTTAAAAAACACAGGGGGTTTCTCTTCCTGTTTCAGCAATCTGTTCCACTACTTGCTCTCGGCCTTTTTCACGGGGTTAGTGATATTTCTATTTCCAACACTAGCCCTGCTTCCCTGCAAACCAGATCACAATGACACACATTAAACTATATAGGCAGAGTATGTATTAAGGGTTGATTCTAAGAATCGAGACTTCAGCTGCCAACATACATCGACGTCAACTTTGTCGTGCAGATCAAAGTCGACTTCGTAGGGAATTTTGTCTTCCCACTTGTGGCAGAGAATAAGAATTTTCCTTCGGGCTTCAGTCTAAGCTTCACATCCTGAGCATCAGGAAGCTCAATAGTTATGAATACTTCATCTGATCTCTGTGCCCATTTCACTGTTGGATGTCCGCTGCAACATGAAATTATAAACAAGTCGAAAATGTAGAAACTCTGATCAATCATCAATCTTTCTAAGAACGTTGTTTGGAAATAAAACAATTAATCAACCCATTATTTCATATCTTAAAAAACTGATCCAAAATTGCTGAAGACCATAAAATCATGCTGTTTTATTATCATAAAGTCTGTCTTGTAATTGAAAGTTGAAACCTTGAACAACATCGCATGTCATAATTTCAACCCTACCAAAATGAAAATGAAAAAAAAATCTAATCCGTTGAAGCCCTCTATTTGAAGCAGAGTAAAAATAACATAAACCCAGAAAGAAAACTTTTTTAAAAAAATAGCCTTGAAAGGCCAAAACAAGGGTAAACAAACAATAATGACAGTGGAAGTTGATGTTCAATTTCGTTCTCTTTCATTTCCTCCATCTTCTAAGCAAAAATTAGAGAAAGTGAGTGATGGAAAATAATAAATAATTAGAGAGAGGAAAAACCTCATGATTGGGCGATTCTCTGCGTACTTGATTGTTTTCACTCAGAGAATTCCTGTGCGACGCAGCAGACTGTAAAATATAGAGAGGTTTGGAATATATTTATAGGATCTTGGAGGTAAAAATGAAAGGGAAAAAAAGTTAAAATTCCAGGGTAAACTATACATTTAGTACATTAACTATTATTTGTATTCTGTTTTGGTATCTAAACTTTATTTTTTTTAAACTATACTAATGTTTAGTTTATGTTTCATTTTAGTACCTACCATTAAAAATTAACAAATCTGATGACGTGATGTCATAAGGTAATGTCACATTATCATTGATAAAAATAAAAAAAATATCATGTCAGTAATTCTATTAAGTTTTTAACGTCATTGTATCAAACTAAAACATAAACTAAACATTAGGTATAATTTAAAAAAAATTAGGTATTAAAATAGAACAAAAGTAATAGTTTTGATAGTAAACATGTAGATTACCAAAAAAAAATTATGTTACTTGTTATTATTTAACCATTTTTTTCTTATTAAAATTTCCTTTTAACGATTTTTACAAGGCCTTTAGATGTAGCAAAGGTATAAATGAGACCCATTCTATTTTAGTTGGATTCAAAAAATCAAATTTTATTTGATAATCATTGAACGTGTTCGATTTAAATAATTTATACTAACAATTAAAATTTATTTTTAATACATATTAAATATTATAATAGTAATTTTCTTTGTCTACCTTTGACATGTTTTAAAATACTTTAAGTATACTATATATTTTTTAAATACAATTATATATTCAAAAAGATGGACTTTTTAAATATGTACACTTATAAGCTTGAATCTTCTCCTTTGCTCTTAATAAATTCATTCTCTAGTATTTAAGTGTTTCTTTTGAGATACATTTAATAAATTTATCAAATTCAAAAGGATGGATTTTTTTAAATATTTTTAGTAAATTCATATTTTAAAATTTAGATGTTCTTATTACGATGAATTTGATGAATTCGTCTACATATAAGATTAATTTTTTTTTTTACTCTGAATGAGCTTATATCTCTTGATTTGAGTGATCCTATTGAGATAACGAATTCATCTAATTTAATTTTGAGATGTTAAACTTATTAATAAATTTGAATAGTCTATGTTAAGGATGGTAGTTATTTAGTTCAGGTTGTTATAAGTTGGTTATTTAGTTAAGGATGGTAGGGTTTTGTTTATTTGTAGATACTCCTTTATTGTTGTATGGAAGTATAAATAAAACTTTTTCATTCATAAGTTCACCGTAATATATTGTGATAAATTTGATGAAATCGTTTTTGTAAGTATAAAGTAGTAGTCACTTTCTATGGAATACATTAAATCACTTTTTTAATAATTATTACTAGTATCTCGAGGTATATGAATTTACTCTTATTTTAACAAATTTTATATTCGTTCAGTCTTAAAAGAATAAGTACTCATTTCACTATGTATTAGTTCTATATATATATATCGGTGTTTCAACGTCTAATTTCGTTATTATTTACTTCTAGTTTGTTTAAAAAAAAAAAATTATTTGTCTGAACTAGTAGGAGATTGTGAATATTAATGGATGGATTGAGATATTTTAAGGGAGTGATTAGAGAAGATAATATATATTTTATTGATAAGTTTCGCTTTTATAAAATTTATATTTTGTTCACATCCAAACGTCCATTTCTTTCTTTCTTCTCTCATTGTATTTGTTTTTCAAAAAGATCAATATTAATTAAGTTCTGTCTTTCTTGCTCAAGTATACAAATATGAAAATACTGTGTAATCTTTAAGGATGATATTCATTATACAAAATCATTTCTAAGATAATAAAATTTATCATGATATAATAAATTAATTTTATATTTATATTTTACTTAATAAAATTTCATTATGTGGATAATATTTTACCAACATATATTACAATAAATGTGTTTTTGTCTTCTTCTATAATTTTTGTAATAGTTAAATGAGTTGATTAAAACCTATTACCGAAGAATTAAACAATATTTTTATATAGACTAGAGACTAATATTAGTAAAAGAAGCGCAAGCTTCCGTTGATAATACCGACATACTTGCCACTCAAGCAACAGAAGTTGGTTGGTTGACGGATCATTTGACCAAAATTGTTTTATTTACTAAAGACTATATTATTTCTCATAATAATTTTGGAGTAAATATAAGATATTATCTATTTAAAGATTTTTAATAATTTAATTGTAAATATCATATTTTATATATATGATGGTGGAATATAAATAATTCTTTAATTATAAAGAGCTGGTTCTAGCCAGCCAGGTTTTTCTTAAAACCTAATATGAATATATTATCGAAACTTCCTAGTAGTTTAGTCTAACAAGTAAAATCTCTTTCGAATTTCTTCTCTGACTGCAATCCTCTTTTATTTCTTTTTGTTTCGCTGAAAGAGAAAAAAGACCCCTAAATTTGCTCGAACTGATTGTAGCCTAAGACCCGCTTTCCAATTCTACATCATGTGAATTAATTTAACTCTTTAAATGTTTGGTTTTCATCAGTTTTTGCTGTCTTGATCAGAAAGTTTCCATTTTTTTAAATTTTATCGTAAAGGGGAAAAATAAAGTTTTTTTTACCACTAAGAGAGATGTCGGTGACGGCGGAGGCTGCGACGACTGATTCGCTCTTTGGCGACGATCAAGTGTGGCCACCGGGATTCCGGTTTCATCCAACCGATGAAGAGCTGGTTCTTTATTATTTAAAGCGGAAAAACTGTAGAAGAAAGCTCAAGCTTGATATCATAAGGGAGACTGATGTTTACAAGTGGGATCCTGAGGAGTTGCCTGGTAAAACTTTCTCCACCCCCTGAAATTGTTTATTTTTATTAATCGAATCTTGATCTTGATTTATATGGCTGCATTTTGTTAGTTTAACTGATAATTGAGAAAATATTTGCGTTGCCTTCATTTTCGTTTCATTAAATTACTTATTTTTTGGGGGAGTTGTTTAACTTTATCTGTTATTGATTTGCTGATTTTCTGGGTTTCTTTTGTGAGGATTATATGGCTATTGATGTAACTCATGTAATATTAAAATAATTATTTTCTTCTTGGAGTATGCTGGCTCTGTTTTGCACAGTAACTGTACTGTTTAGATTTGTTCAGGTTCCATAGCGTGATTGATGGTCGTGGGGTTTAGATTTGATCGAGGCGTGTACGTTAGAATTTTTATTTTGCAAAAGTAACTTCTTTGAACCTCTGATTGTTATAAACTTCAAAGCTGATTAATCAATGGAGTATTCAGATATCTCAATGTTTATATAGAACAAGAATGTTTATTTTTGGGGGTTCTGAATTGAGGCTCTTGATTCCATTTATTTTTCAGATGGTGATTTCTTGTTTGAAAATGTTCAGCGATAGATAGCGTTTGTTGGTTTCTGGTTTTTGATCTTGTTCTATTTGTTGTATTAGCAGTTTTCTAATGAGCAAAAATGCATTTTTGTTATACAGCACAATCGATACTGAAGACTGGGGATAGGCAGTGGTTCTTCTTCAGTCCGAGAGACAGGAAATACCCTAATGCAGCTATGTCAAACAGAGCAACCAGACAGGGGTATTGGAAGGCAACAGGAAAAGATCGTACCGTTACCTGTAATTCTCGGACAGTTGGAATCAAGAAAACTTTAGTTTTCTACAGAGGGCGTGCACTAATGGTGAGAGAACTGATTGGGTAATGCATGAGTATACCCTCGATGAGGAGGAACTCAAGAGATGCCAGACTGCAAAGGTATGTAGCGGAAGAAGTTTTCGGAGGAACTTTTCTAGTTTTTCCTCTTGCATGTGAGCTGTTTTAATTCTGATTTTCCTTTTTTTGCATTTTAGGATTATTATGCTCTCTATAAATTGTACAAAAAAAGTGGACCTGGCCCTAAAAATGGGGAGCAATATGGGGCTCCGTTCAAAGAAGAAGAATGGGCTGATGAGGAATATACTAGTGAACCGGTAGATGCAATCACCCCTGTCAAACAACCATATGAGGCCATTCATGATGATGATGAAAAAGCTAATGATCAAATTCAACCTCCATTGAATGATATCGAGAAGTTCATGAGACAATTTGCTGATGAGATTGTCCTTCCGCATCCACAAGCTCATTTCGACTATGTATTGCCTCGAGTTACTGGTGAAGAAGAGATACAATGTACTTTTCTGGAGCCATCTCCGAGGGATGTGCTCTTTCCTAAGACGCTTAAGGTTGTACATGACCATGCAAGCTTTGAATTCTCCCAGTCCCCTACATCCCATTTGCAGTTGCGTGAGGCACCTGAGGTCACGTCTGTTGCTGACCCCATCGAACAATTACCACAAATATGCGACAAGGACTTTCTGGAAATTGATGATCTCCTAAATTCTGATATTTTGACATCCAATGTTGAGAAACCTGTGGAGAATGGGCAGCAGTTCAATGAGTTGGATGGTCTGGCTGAATTTGAACTGTACCATGATGCTGCAATGTTCCTACAAGACATTGGACCTATTGAACAAAGAACAGTTCCATTCTCATGTGCTGAAAATATGATAAATCAGGTAAATTACCAATTGGAACCTCAATCAATTATAAGCCTCATGGATCCGCAGTTGCAGCCTCAATTGAATGCTTTCAGAGATAATATATTAAATCAGGTGGATTATCAATCTCATTCCTGTTTAAATAACCTGATGGATAGACAGTTGATGCCCAATACAACTGTGGAACAGGTGGATTACCAGTTACCATTCCAGTCTTTTGGAAACGAGCTGGAGCAACCACTCCAAATGGATCAGACCAATGGCTCAATTTGGACGCCTGATCAAAGTGGTGATGTCTTCACTCCATCAGGATCAAATCTTGGGAATGCCTCTCCAACTTCAGGTAGGACAAGTGTGAATATCAATGTGCATTTATCTGTGAAGTTAACATGCAGTCTCTGAAATGTTTTTTTTTTGTTTCGGACAAAGTTGCGGTCTTAGCCCATCCTCATGGAGCTCTTGATGAGATGGATGGTTTGGTAGATGTGCCAAAAGTCCATATGGCAAAAAAAGCCTTTGT